GTTTCTGGTTTTAAGGAATTAAATTGAACCAGGAATTTCATATGAAATAGGATTTCTGAAAGAGGTGGGAGATCACAGAAGTTTTGTTTCATTATTCCATTTTTTAAAAAAATGATTGTTATATGGATGAAATTCCTTCCTTTTGTCTTTGGCCAGATATGACAAGCAACTTTTATATGATTTCCTACTTTGTCTTTAGGGTACTGTATTTTTCAATTTAAAAGAGAAAAAAAAAAAAGCCTGAGACTCATTGTTAGGTCTGCTGCTCTCTAATGAATCATTGGATTGGAAAATAACTCATTTTATCATCAGGCAGAGATATGTTCCTTTACTTGCATGTAGATAGTGAAGATGAATAATTTATCAAATGTTATTAGTGCAGGCTGTATATTACTGGAGTCTCAGCAGAAATATAATGAAATTTGTCTCATCCTACTATGAACATAACATGCCTTTGCACAGCCATGACCGCACCTTGGGCATCTCTCAGAAAATTGTGGTATAGCCATGCCAGTCTTGTTCACCTGCCCAACCGCTGGACTTTTGATTGAAGAGTTCAACTTTTCTTGAAAATCTCTGGAATTTGGTTTGCCAAACACTTGCTTGACTCTAGCTGTGTTCTTGTGTCAAAGTAAAACTTTCCAGAATGAGTGGATTCCTTAATGTTTCTTATTAAAGTGATTACTGCAAAAAGGCTGTGACTGATGGTTTTATTACTTCTGGTTGTGAGAAGCTGTCTGTTCAGGAGATGTTTAAGCAATATGTCTTTCTGAAATGAGGGGTGATGAGACGTGTATATAATTGCTTAGAATCTTATGTCTGCACTAATTATGCATCTGCAGTTATTTTAAATGATTGCCTTATAAAGGTTGCCTTTGATTTGCCTTTGGCATGATTGCATTGGGAGCTCAACAAATTACCCCCCAAAAGTCACAATAAAGGTACAAATGGTCAAAAGCAAATTATGCCTTATTTTTGAACTTGACTAAAAGCATTCAACAAATTGAGAAATGTATTCATGATGACAACTGAAGTCTCTTTAAAAAACAGTGTAAGTCTGTGGTGTTGTGCCGGGGCTGCTCCTGTTTTCTCAGCTGATGGACAAGTTCGTTCAACCAGGGGGTAGCGGGCTGTGAAAGTGAGTAGCTTTATTGCTGCTACTGAGATGGCTCAGTTGATTTGGGGAACTGTCAGTTATGGTGGAGATTTTGGTGGCAAGTAATAGGGAAGGTCTGCAGCTCTACTGGACCTAGATTGCTGGCATTTGATATACAAAGCATGGACAGGCGAACTAGCCTGGATTTAACAGGGAATTCTTGTACATGAAACAGTGATAGGAAGTTTGAGAAGCTCTCCACGTACTTTCAGTTGACTGGAGCGTCTACATGAACAGAGCAGAAACTGGAGTGAGCCCAAGCTACCCACCCTTGTCTGCCTGATGGAGCCCGCCTGCACATCCAGAGGACCCAAGGGTGCCCAGGAGAAAAGACAAGATGGGGCCAACTGGAAAATGGCCCTAACGTGAAATGCCCCCACTGGGTCACTCAGAGCCATTGGTAGAGAGTAGTTATCTGCCTTGCTCAAAGTGTTTAAGAACGTGTATGATCAGTCTTTGACTTCACAAAACACTGTCAGTACATTCTCGAAAAACATTAAACAGGGATATCAGCAACCATTCATTGTGGAGAGAGAGAGCTTCGTAGATTTAGTCTCCACGAATCAACTATCCTTGGGGGGCGATGTGAGTTTTGACTTGCTATGATATGTAATCTAAGAGGTCAAGTCTTCAGACTTCATTTAAAGAAATCAATTGTAACCATGTTCCTGATGAAGAATAGTCCATCCTTTTTCCTCAGTGACCAACAGTGTTGGATTTAGAAGACAAGGATTCCAGAGAGTAAGGGAAAACATAGTGGAAAAATGCAAGGAAAGGATTGTGATAGTGACTTGAAAATAGAAATTATGAAGAGGAACATGTGGAGAATCTGGAGTTGAAAAGCGCAGAAATAGATGGAAGCCTTCGTCGGGGCCCCGCTGCAGGTTTCTAGGTGGCTTACGGATAATTACCAGTCACGTTGGAGAGTGACTAGAGAAATGATCCTGTCTGAAGAGCAGAACTAAAATGAGCAGGACCTCTCTCACTGCTGACTTTAGATGTCACCCTGACTGGATGAAGGTGTACTCAGCTATCTGGTGAAGCATCTTTACTGTCAATGCTGTGACAGGCACTGAGCCTTCTCCCTCTGCTGAAAGGGAAGCTGTGAGGTTTTGATTTGATGGGGATGCCCTGGGGGTGTCTGTGATTTGCTTCCTGAGGGGATGGCCTTGGGGGTTGGTGGACTGGGTGGTGAAGATTTGCCCTCAGGGTGGGTGGGGAGTATCCAGTCACCTGGAGACCCCTGGACAAAATTGTGGAGGAAGGGTGCATTCTTATTCTCTTTTCAAGAGCTGGAATACTTGTTTCCTCTTGGCTTTGGACTTCAGAACTTCAGATTCTTTAGCCTTTGATCTCTGAGACTGGTACCAGTTGCCTCCAGGGCTGTTAGCCTCAGCCTTGACTGCAGATTTGCACCATCCACTTCCTGGGTTCTGAGGCTCTGTGCTTGGACTGAGCCACGCTCCTGGCTTTCCTATTCTCTGACTTGCAGATGGCCCATCGTGGGAACTCTTGGCCTCCACAATCAAGTGAGCTGACTCCCTAGTCAATCCCTTCTCATCCCTCTCTGAATCCTCTCAGTTCTGTCCTTCTGGAGAACCTTGAGTAGACAACCTCAGAGACCTCTGTGGCCACATCCAGCACACTAACACAATGTCATGGGAGCCGCAGAGGACCAGGACAGAGAAGAGTACAAAAACTAAAACAAAAACCTACTGGTTGAAAACATCGTAAACCTAAGGAAAAACTTTGTGGATCAAAAAATCTAACTCACTTGCATATGGAAAAATCAGAGATCTCTGCCTGGACTCACCATCAGCAAACTGTTGAAAGGCAAAGTGAAAATTTTGAAAGGATAGGAGAAGTAGTAACACTTATCAGGGAAACAACAATGAGATTAATAGTTGACATCAGAAGCCAAAAATGTCAAAGGAATGTGGCATGTTCAAAGAAAAATCTGGCAATTAGTAATGAATTAGTGAAAATTATCTTTCACAAATGAAGGAAAATATATTCTCAAAGAATGATTGTTGCTAAATGACTTGATTTAGAAGATACTAGAAAATTCTTTAGGCAGAAAGGAAGTGGTATCACATGAATTTCAAGAAACAATAGAAAGTGTTAGAAATGGTATACAGGTGGGTTAGTATACTCCTACAAGTATGTATTTTATGGTTTTTTTTCTCTTTTAAAATGAAAATTATAGCGCTGTTTTTAGCTTTGTGCAACTATGTACGTAAAGTGTGATAGCAATTCCATAAAAGAGGAAGCAGGAAGAGAAACAGCTCTCAGCTGACTGAGAAGTGATCTCGGGCCCCTGTTGTACAGAGAAGAGGCAAAGTAGATCCTAGACCTCAACATAAGCACATAAGAAGAAAACACAGAATCTTCACGTCCTTGGGATAGGCAGATCTATGAGTTCTTAGATATGACACCAAATCCATGAGCCATGGAAGGAAAAATGGAACAATTGGACATTGAAAAAGCATTTACTTTTATTTATTTATTTTTTTTGAGAGAGAATTTTTTTAATATTTATTTTTTAGTTTTCGGCGGACACAACATCTTTGTTTGTATTTGGTGCTAAGGATCGAACCCGGGCTGCACGCATGCCAGGCGAGCGCGCTACCGCTTGAGCCACATCCCCAGCCCAAAAAAGCATTTACTTTTAAATAGAAGCTACCATCATGAAAATGAAGCTTTAAGCCACAGACTGGGGGAAAATATTTACAAATCTCCTGATGAAGGTGGGCATACAAAATCGTATCACCACTGTGAAAAACATCATTCTTAAAAAGGTAAACATAGATTCACCACTCGACAGTTTTAGGAATATGTGCAAGAGAAATGAAACATGTCCATAGAGACATTATTGTAACGGCCATTCTTTGAAACAATCCAAATATCCATCATCTGGTCAGTGAGTCAGCAAAATGTGCTGTATTTGGTATGGGACTATTTTGAGAGGTGATAGAAATGGTCTAAAGTTGGGTAATTGTGTTGATTGCAAAACTGTATAAATTCACTTACAATCATTGAATTGTATGCTCACACTGGGTAAATCTTATAGGATACAGCATAAGCTCAATAAAGTTGTAGAAAATAGTACTGTACATAAAAAAACCAAATGACAAATCTGGTAAGATAAATGAAGAATGTGAAAGGAGTATGCAAATTCTTAGTACTGTCTTTTGTATAAGCCTTAAGTTATATTAGTATTTAAAAAGTAATGAAATTATAATGGCTCTTAGTATTAGTCTGATTATCTTATGTGACTTTTTTTTTTTTAACTATTTTATTTATTTTTTAATTTTCGGCAGACACAACATCTTTGTTTATGTGGTGCTGAGGATTGAACCCGGGCCGCACGCATGCCAGGCGAGCGCGCTGCCGCTTGAGCCACATCCCCAGCCCCTTATGTGACATTTTATAAAAATAAGTTTAAAAAGTTGTGTTTTAAAATATCGTACCATAAAATGCAATTTTATCTTAGCTTTGATTTTCTGTTTGCTTTGAGGGGCTTCTGATTTTGTTTTTTTAATAGAGCATTCATACCTGTGGGACTCTATTCCGAGGACATGCCTCTTTCTGTTTCTCAAGTATACAGCATAAGTATGCAACTTAGCGTAAGCAAAATACTTTTAACTGCGGACCTAGAACACAGCTGTTTTTCTTCTGACACTTTTTTCCTAGGTTCAAATGACCACACCTTCTCTAGGGTGCTTTTTTCTTTTTCCTCATAAAAGACAAAACTAAATGCAAACGTTAGCACATTTGTTGAAAGCGGAAAATTAAAGTGGAGTTGTGTGACTCACTGATGTGTACTTATGTTCTTGATTTGAAGGCCACTCTGTGCGACTTCTGGGCCAGAAGAAGGATAATGGAAAGCGGCTGGGGGGAGCTCGGTTGGATTTGCCCAAGATCAGGAAGAATCCACTAATAGAAATAATTTCCATCAATACCGGGTAAGCATCTCTCAATCTTACTCATAAAATATTCAGTATTCTGTATGCTCACCTTTTTTTTTTTTTTTTTTTTTTCCTGGACATGTGATGTTGAAAAGTAGTTGAACATTTTCTTGGGAAAGAAAAATCACAAAAGTTCAAAAGTTGTGGATATAAGATTCTTCTAAAATGTTTTCTGTCTGCAGATCACACGTTTTCAGTAGGATTTTATGTCTTTGATATTCTTTTCATTTTTGGTAGTAAATATAGGTTTCATTTTCTAGCTATGTCCTTGGTTAAAATCTTTTGTAAAAAGAACATTCTCTGGAAGAGCTAATGACCCATCGGCTTTGCTTACTTGTTCAATGGATCATGGTAAATGTGCCTAAAACACAGGCTTTGATTATTAGTTATTTGAAGGGCTTATTTTGTTAGGTTACTTTAGTAGTGCTGGGGTGGAGCCCAGGGTCCTGCCCACTCTTGGTAAGTGCTCTAGCGCTAAGCTGCATCCCAAGACCTGATGCCTATTTTAAAATGTCATTCTTTTATACTGGAAAAAAATAGCCACATGATTATGATTATCAAGTATATTTTTAATTTCCACACCTTTGTCTAAAATCCTTCTTGATTATAACTTTCTCTATCTACTAATTCTTGGTTCTATTTGCATTGATTTAATTTTGGTTTCTTTCTTGAAAGAGCTAGACTTTCTCTGAAAGTCCGAGGAGACCTGGGGCTTCTGTTCTGGGAAATGCTGGGAGCGCCCGTGTTCCCCAGGGATTAAGCTGGCCTGCTGTCTCCTGACTGCCACTTGCCTCCTGGCCTTGGGCCCCTTTCCCCCTCCTTTCCCCTGAGGACAGGTGGGCTGAGCGTCCTCCCCTGTCTCCTGTTCTGCGACAGCTGGGTTCCTCGGCTCATCTCTCTCCAGTCTCACTGCAACGTGGTTCATCCTTCACTCTGTTGGCAAAGGCCAGAGAAGGCTGAAGGAGTCATCTGGTCTTCAGTTCCAAGCCCCGTGGGGTGGCGCCCAATTGGCCTGGGGGATTGGTTGTAGCCCAGCCTCTGGCCTTTAGCGCTGAGGATCAGAAACCCAGAGTTCAGGAGCTGGGAAACCAGAGACTAACCAGAGTGAACAGTGAGAAGCAAGGTATCTCCTGGCCGCGCGCCTGGCACTCTCCCCTGGCTGCAGCCACACTCCCGCACAGGGGTTTCTGTTCCCTTTCGCCGGACATAGTGGTGCCTGTTACAGCTCCTGAGTTTCCTATTTAAGATTGCCGTGTTCCTGTTCGCTTTCCCCGTATTTGCCCCATTTTCCTCTCTAACTTTCATCACCCTATAAAAAATACACGTATGTTCATTTATGTTTTATCATTGCTCTTCACTGGTGTGGTGCCCCATGAGGACAGGGACCTCTGATGGCTCTGTTACCACAGGACAGTGTACCCAGTGTGGCCCTCCTAAATGCTGATTACTGAAGGATTGGTTGAGCTATAGAACTTGAAAGGGATTATACTAAATTTTCTTCATAGTGTGGATTGCTTTGCCCATTGGACAGTAACTCTTGACGTTTGTAATTCTTTCAAGTATTTGGAAGTCGTTCTTTGAAGTTTGCTGCCTAAGCATGCTTTCTCCCAACAGTGCCTAGAGGGCCAAGTCACAATGTTTTTGAGTCATCTTTTTTTTTTGTACATCAATTCCCTTTTGGGCAGACATTCCTTTATCTGTGTTACCATGTCACCGTCTGTCAGCCCCTATTGACCAGGATATGTGTGGTGTCTTGAAGACAGCTTTGCTCCTGCTTTGAGCCTATGACGTGCCTACCTTATCTGTTTTCTAGAACCCCTGTGCTTCTTCATTTTGTCTGCACACGTTGCTCCCCATGGTTGGTCACCCTGAGGACCCTGACAGTGTCCCATCCAGGCCTTCTCTGTCTTCATTCTAGGCCTTTCTGTACTCTGAAGGCTTTGTGCGCTTGGCTGTCCTTTCCCATGATCCTTCAGTGCTCAGTCATGTCCACTGTCTCTGGATGGCTGGACCTGCTCCACGACTGGGTAACTCGCTCTCTACCGTTGTGCACCAGAGCCTTTCCTGCTTAGCAGACATGGCCCTTGGACCGCATCATTTACTCTTGGGTGCTGGCAGTACTCCAGTTATTTTCACCTTCTTACCTCCAAGTTCAGTTTCTAGTACAAATTTAGTTCTTAGTAAATATTTTTTGAATAAATGTTTTAAGGCCATTATTTTCTGTTGCTAGACACTAAAATAAAAAAATAAAAATTTATTTTTTAAAATGTTTAAAATTTCAAATTAAAAAAAATTGCTTCAGGCTAACCATTTAAATAGCATTAGATTAAAATTTTTCACATAAACTCTTTCAATTTTCCTTGTGGATTTAGTATTTTCTACAAATGGAACTGTATTCTAAAAAAACTGTTTAGAGCTCACTGCGAATTTGCTGTCCCTCTCATATTCTCCTAGTACCTCATATTAGAATGTAGAATTGGCCCTTTACAATTGGCCCATTAGCAGACATACCTGGATATTGAGAGACCTCGATGCACGTAGTCTTGAATTGGGATGCTAAGCTGATGACTGCTCCTCCTCCTCTCACATTAATTGCCACCCACTCACATGCTTATGCATGCAAGCAGCCTCACGAATACTTGTACACAGCATCTTGACTTTCTAGTTTTCTTTTTTTGCTGCCAGTGGAGCTCTGTCCTTTTTATTTTTTTATAAACACTAGCTTTTAAGTACTTTAAAATTGTTATAAGCATAGTTAATTTTTCAATAGAAAATTATCCTTAGGGACTGGGGTTGTGGCTTAGCAGTAGACTGCTCACCTAGCACATGCAGGGCACTGGGTTTGATCCTCAGCACCACATAAAAATAAAGGTTAAAAAAATTATTCTTATTACCACAATCCTAACACTCTTCAATAGTGAGATAGCTATTTCATACAAATTTTTCATTTAAGAAGAGCATCCCATTTGCAGGCAACTTTTATTACATGCATTGGTGAATTGTGAAGCTACCATTAGACTGCACAGAGCTGTGATGCTCCACTCTATTTCTAAGTGGAAACTATAAAAGGAATATTAGTTACTGTCTTCACGCAGAAGTTGAACATGTGGATGGGCTGGAGAGACTGCTTATGTGATCATAGTATGTATAATAGGTTTGCTAGTCTTGTTTTCAAATTATTCCTAGCATAAAGAAAGATACAGAAAACAATTATATGGGCCCTTTTAATTTTAAAATAACATCTTTTTTGCTTCATATTCTTCCTTAATTTTTTTCATTGATCTGTTTCTATTTGTTTGCTATGTTGACTGTATATATTGCTTCCTGTACTTAATCCTCACAACACCTTAAAAGATTTTCTTTTGTAGACGAGGAAGGTAAGGTACAGAGGTTAAGTGGCTTCACAGCTGTGTTAGCAAGGAAGTGACAAATATGGACTTACCTACTAATGCTCCCAGAAGGGATTGAGAGTTCTCAGGAACCTGGAGTCCTGTTAGTATAGTCAGCAGACAGGGCTCTTGTGGGAACAGAATAATCTTTGTATTTTAATGACCTCTCAAATGGTTCCTAAAAGATCCGTGGAGCTTTGGTAATTGCTTATAGAGCTGTATTCTATGTTGATGGCTGCTGTAATAAATTAGCACAAACTTGGTGGCTTAACACCAATTTCTTATTGCATGTTCTTTGAGGACAGAAGTCCAGCATAGTTCTTGGTGAAATCGGGTTGGCAGGACTCCGTTGGGAAGCTCTGGGAAGAACAGGTTTCCTTGCTTTCCAGCACCAACAGGCTGCCCGCATTGCTCCGGGCTCTCTGCTTTGCTCTTAGGGCCACAGCACTCTCCTCCCTTGGTGGCTGTTCCATGTTCCCTCTAGCTCTTCTACTTTCAGTGGCTTCCTTGGACCACTGGAATCATCCCGGATCATTGGTTTTCATGTCAGCCCGTTGGCAACTTAATCCCATGTGCATCTGAAATTCCCCTTTGCTACGCAACTTCTAGAAGTTAGAAGGTGGACATCTTTGGAGGCCCATTGTCCTGCTTATTGCTGAGGTTTGAAGAGAAAATATAGGAAGAGAGAAAAAATAAAGGCATGGAAGTAGAATATGTGAGTTTTCTCAATTATTATATGAGAAGTATGATTTTTTTCCTCTTATCTGGAGTTCCCAGCATACAGAGGAAAATTGAGAAAAGTATTTTTTATGTAGATAATCTAGGTGCCCCAGCGTGAAGCCATAGAGGATGGGGGAGCCACTGTAGCTGGGGCAGGTGGCAGCCATGATCAGACAGGCATCAGGAGAATCATCCTGCACCAGTCTGTAAGGTGGGCTGCTGTAGGGGGAGAGAGGTGCAGGAAGAGCGCTTAGCAGCCATCGTGGTCACCCAGCAGGGAAGGAAGGAGGGCCAGAGGGTAGTTTGGGGGTGGAAGCATATAGATTGTACTCCGGTGGAGTTTACAATAGTGGGTTTGGCAATTCAAAAGAAAAGTTGGCGGTAGGATGGCAAGGCCAGAAAGAGGCTTCTGTGGGAGCCCAGTGAGCACACAGGGTGGCTCGTGAGTGTCTGGGTGGGAGCAGGAGGCAGGAGTCCTGCTGAGTCCCCCAGTAGTCAGAGTTGACTGCCTTGCCTCAGGACATGAAGGGTGTTGTAGACTGAGAAAGTGAGAAATCCAAGTTTAGAGGAATTCCACCATGGAATAACAGAGGTGGTCTTTAGAGAATAGAAAGCCTGCCTGCCTCCCACCCTCAGTCTGAGCTTGTTGGGGAGCAGGTGGACAAGGCTCAGGGGTGCCCTGCAGGAGGAATAGTTTATGTGGGATCCAGGGCCCAGGAGGAGGAGTCGGCCCTGGTGGGAAGGGCTGTGTTCCTGCTCCACAGAGATGGGAATTCAGAATGAGAGGAAGCACAACAAGTTGTCAGTTTGTTTTTACAAAAGGGTCTTCAGACAGCAGATCAGTGCTTTCATGATTCCAGGCCAAGTGAAGGGGAGCATTTCAGTTTA